GGTGCAGGGAAGTGTTGAAAACATCTGCTGTAGCTATGGATGCTTTCCGTGCCTCTGAGATCTTGATCATTGGAATTACAGTATCTTTGATTATTTTTTTTCCTTTTCCAGGCTCCCTTTCATTTTCTCACAGCTCAGAGTGATGTGTGTGATTACTGTCAAAGGAGTCATGTGCCTCACACTGAGATCAGTATATCTGCAACAGTAGTTTTGTGTGTTTGTCATTACAGGTTCCACTAGGAACATTGTTCTGACCCAGTTTCCAGCTTCCTTGACTTTGTCTGTAGGACAAAAGGTCACCATCTCCTGCAGGGCCAGGGAGAGTGTCAATCAATTTGGCATAAATCTTATGCATTGGTATCAACAGAAACCAGGACAGCCTCCCAAACTCCTGATCGTTAATGTGTATAGTCTAGAGTCTGGGATCCCTGCCAGGTTCAGTGGTGATGACGATGAATTAAACTTCACCCTCACCATCCATCCTGTGGAAGCTGATGATGTTGCAACCTACTATTGTCAGCAGGGACTAACACTTCCTCTCACAGCCCTCTAAGTCAAAGCAAAAACCTTCCATGGTCGCTGCACTCTGAAGCCGATTGTCTCAGATGTCTTTCCCATGAGATATCTCAACTAGGGGTCTGCAGAAGGCTTGTTTGAAAAAGGAGGGGAAGTACAAAACAGAAAATTCTCAAGCTCATGAGGGTATTTTTTTTCCCTTGTAATCTTATAATTAAACAATTTTCTTACTAAAAATGATGTCCCTGCTGCTATTTCTTTATTAACAATGTAGTATATTTAATTACATTTCCCCTAGTCTTTTTTCCCCAGCATATATATTTTTCTTTTTTTAAAAATTTTTTATTTAAGTTTTATTAATTACACTTTATTCATTTTGTATCCCCCCATAAGCCCCTCCCTTCTCCCCTCCCGGTCCCCCCTCCCCCCCCTTTCTGCATGCATGCCCCTCCCCAAGTCCACTGATAGGGGAGGTCCTCCTCTCCTTCTGATCTTAGTCTATCAGTTCTAATCAGAAGTGGCTGCATTGTCAGGGTTCTAGGTTATCTCCATGAATAGTCCTTGGTTGGAGTATGAGTCTCTGGGAAGTTCCCTGTGTTAAAGGCAGAGCAATTTGGCATCTCCCATCATATTTTTAAAAATTCTTTATTAATTACACTTTATTCACTGTGTATCCCCCCCTGTGGTTCCCTCCCTCCTCCCATCCCAACTCCTCCCTTCCTCCACCCTCTGCATGCATGCCTCTCCCCAAGTCCACTGATAGGGGAGGTCTTCTTTTCCTTCCTTCTGATCCTAGTCAATTAGGTCTCATCAGGTGTGGCTGCATTGTCTTTTGCAGTGTCCTGGTAATTCTGCTTCCCCCTCAGGGGGAGGTAATTAAAGAGCAGGCCAATCAGTTCATGTCAGTTCAGTCCCTGTTCCTATTACAATGGAACCCATGTAGATAGTGAACTGCCATGTGCTAAATCTGTGCAGGGGTCTTAGGTTATCTCCATGCATGGTCCTTGGTTGGAATATCAGTCTCAGGAAAGATCTCAGTCCTTAGATTTTTTTTGGTTCTGTTGCTATACCTGTGGAGTTCCTGTCCTCTCCAGATTTTACTGTTTCCCACTTCTTTCCTAGGATTCCCTGCACTCTGCCCAAAGGTTGCCCATGATTCTCACCATCTGCACTTATAGTCTGCAGGGCAGATCCTTTCAGCGGTCCTCTGTGTCAGGCTCCTGACTTGTTCCCACTTTTCTCCTTCTTCTGATGTCCATCCTCTTTGCCTTTCAGGATGGGGATTGAGTATTTTAGTCAGGCCCACCCTCTTGATTAGTTTCTTTAGATGTACAGATTTTAGTAGGTTTATCCTATATTATCTGTCTATATGAGTGAGTATATACCGTGTGTGTCTTTTTGCTTCTGGGACAGCTCATTCAAGATGATCCTTTCCAGTTCCCACCATTTATCTGCAAATTTTATTATATCCTTGTTTTTCATTGTTGAGTAATACTCCATTGTGTAGTTGTACCACAATTTCTGTATTCATTCCTTTAGTGAGTGACATCTGGGCTGTTTCTAGCTTCTGACTATTAAAATAAGGCTGCTATAAACATGGTTGAGCAAATGTCCTTATTGTGTACTTGAGCCTCTTTTGGGTATATGCTTAGGAGTGGTATAGCTGGATCTTGAGGAAGCACCATTCCTAGTTGTCTGAGGTACCGCTAGATTGATTTCCAGAGTGATTGTACAATTTTATATTCCTACCAGCAGTGGAGGAGGGTTCCCTTTTCTCCACAACCTCTCCAGCATGTGTTGTCACTTGAGCTTTTGATCTTAGCCATTCTGATGGGTGTAAGGTGCAATCTTAGGGTGGCTTTTATTTGCATTTCCCTTATGACTAAGGACGTTGACCATTTCTTTAAGTGTTTCTCTGCCATTCGATATTCCTCTATTGAAAAATTCTCTGTTTAGCTCTGTACTCCAATTTTTAATTGGATTACTTGATTTATTGCTTTTCAGCTTCTTGAGTTCTTTATATATACTAGATATTAGTCTTCTGTCAGATTTAAGGTAGGTGAAGATCCTTTCCCAATTTGTAGGTAGTCCTTTTGTTCTGAGGACAGTGTCCTTTGCTTTACAGAAGCCCTTCTCTTTCATGTGGTCCTATTTATTGATTGTTGCTCTTACAGCCTGTGCTGTTGGTGTTCCGTTCAGGAAGTTGTCTTGTGACAATGAGTTCAAGGTTCTTCCCTACTTTTTCTTCCGAGTGATTTAGTGTGTCTGGTTTTATTTTGAGGTCTTTGATCCACTTGGACTTTAGTTTTGTGCAGGGTGATAAGTATGGATCTATTTGAATTTTTCTACATGTAAACATCCAGTTAGACCAGCACCATTTGTTGAAGATGCTGTCTTTTTTCATTGAATGGTTTTGGCTTCTCAGTCAAAAATTCAGGTGTTCATAAATGTGTGGATTTATGTCAGGGTCTTCTATTCGATTCCCTTGATCCACCAATCTGTTTCTCTTCCAGTACCTTGCAGTTTTTCATATTGTTGCTCTATAGTACAGCTTGGGATCAGGGATGTAGATACCTCCTGAAGATCTTTTACTGTCAAGAATTGTTTTAGCAATTCTGGGTTTCTTATTGTTTCATATGAAGATGAGAATTTTTCTTTCAAGGTCTGTAAAGAATTTTGTTTGTAATTTGATGGGAATTGCATTGAATCTCTAGCTTGCTTTTGGTAAGAGGCCATTTTTATTGTATTAAGCCTGCCAAGCTATGAGCATGGAAGAACTTTCCATCTTCTGATATCTTCTTCTAATTCTTTCTTCAGAAACTTGAAATTTTTTTTGTACAAGTGTTTGACTTGTTTAGTTAGGCTCATACCAAGGTACTTTATGTACTTTGTGGCTATTGTGAAAGGTGTTGTTTCCCTAATTTCTTTTTCAGCCGTTTTTTCTTTTGTATACAGGAGGGCTGATTTTTTTGAATTAATTTTGTATCCAGCCACTTTGCTGAGGGTATTACTCAGCTGTAGGAGTTCCCTGGTAGAATTTTTGGGGTCACTCAGGTGTATTATCATATCTTCTGCAAATAGTGATACTTTGACTTCTTCCTTTCCAATTAGTATTCCCTTCATCTACTTCAATTGCCTTATTGCCCTAGCAAGGACTTCAAGAACAATGTTGAAGAGATATGGAGAGAGTCGGCAGCCTTGCTTTATTCCTGATTTCAGTGTGATTGCTTTAAGTTTTTCTCTGTTTAGTTTGATGTTGGTTATAGGCTTGCTGTATATTGCCTTTACTCTGTTCAGGTATGTGCCTTGTATCCCTGAGTTCTCCAATACTTTAAACATGAATGGATGTTGGTATTTGTCAAATGCCTTTTCGGCATCTAAGGAGATGATCATGTGGTTTTTCTCCTTCAGTTTGTTTATGTGGTAGATAACATTGATGGATTTCTGTATATTGAACCATCCCTGCATGCCTGGGATGAAGCCTACTTGGTCATATTGGATGATATCTTTGATGTGTTCTTGTATTTGGTTTGCAAGTATTTTGTTGAGTATTTTTGCACTGATGTTTATCCTGCTGCTATTTCTTAAAAATGTTTTCCAGATTTAATAATTTTTGTAGTTAGACAATGGCATAAACTTAAACAAAACTTTCCACACTCATTTAAAAATAAAGTAATTAAAGTAATTTAAAGCATTGTTAATCCATCTGGCACTTTCTCAGACCTATAGGAATAGCGCTTCCTCAAGATGCAGCTATACCATTCCTAGGCATATATCCAAAATAGGCTCAAGTACACAATAAGGACATTTGCTCAACCATGTTTGTAGCTGCTTTATTCATAATAGCCAGAAGCTGGAAACAACCGAGGTGCCCCTCAACTGAAGAATGGATGAAGAAATTGTGGTACATCTACATAATGGTATATTACTCAGCAAAGAAAAATAAGGAAATAATGAAATTTGCAGGTAAATGGTGGGAACTGGAAAGGGTCATCCTGAGTGAGCTGTCTCAGAAGCAGAAAGACACACATGGTGTATACTCACTCATACAGACATATAACATAGGATAAACCTACTAAAATCTGTACATCTAAAGTAACTATCAAGAGGGAGGGCCCTGACTAAAATGCTCACTCCCCATCCTGAAAGGCAAAGAGGATGGACATCAGAAGAAGAAGAAAACAGGAAACAAGTTAGGAACCTGCCACAGAGGGCCTCTGAATGGCTCTGCCCTGCAGACTATCAAAGCAGACGATTAGACTTATGGCCAACTGTTGGGCAGAGTAAATGGAATCTTATGAAAGAAGAGGGAAATAGTAAGATCTGGAGAGGACAAGAACTCTACAAGTAGAGCAACAGAACCAGAAAATTTGAACACAAAGGTCTTTCCAGAGATTGATACTCCAACCAAGTGCCATGCATGGAGATAACCTAGAACCCCTGCACAGATGTAGCCCATGGCAATTACGTGTCCATGTGGATTCTATAATAATGGGAAGAGGGACTGCCTCTGACATGAACTGATTGGAATGCTCCTTGATCACCTCTCCCTGAGTGGGGAGCAGCCATTCCAGGCCACAGAAGATGATAATGCATCCACTGCTGATGAGATCTGATAGACTAAGATCAGAAGGAAGGAGAGGGGGACCTCCCCTATCAGTGGACTTGGGGAGTGAAGAATGGGGAGGGAAGGGGTTTATGGTGGGTACAAATTGAATAAAGTGTAATTAATTAAAAAAAAAGAGTTACACCAAAAAGAAAGCATTGTTAATGATCTGACTTTCAGATGGTGGTTATACTCTTTCATTTCATAATATTTTTATTGATTATTTGGGAATTTCACACCATGAATCATGATCGCACTCCCTTTTAGTACTCCCAGGTTTGCTTCACTTCACCTGTGACTTACCCTCATCAAATGAAGATCAAATAACATGTAAAAGTAGACTTATCAGAATCATATCTGACTTCTCAAAAGAGATTGTGAAATCCAGAAAGACCTGGGCAGATGTCATGCAGACACTAAGAGACCACAGA